TATGTATGACAGTTATGTGCTATAGTGGTCCGATTTCCAAAATGTGTTCAGCGATTGTAGCGCTGCCTAAACAATTTATGCCAAATTATACTTTATATGGTACCCTACGTTTCCTGCTGGATGTTAAAAACTTCGTCGTAAGCTTAATATACCCTTTAAAGGGTAGAAAATAAATAAAACGCAAAAGAATTTGAGAATGTAATATGAAAATGAATGCACAAAATTGACTGACTCGTGTTCTCAGGTTCCCAGACTATAGTTTCCGGGTGATTGAAAGGTCTTCGAGACTGACTCGTGTTCCCAGACTTTTGTTACCGAAAATAGGTTTTTTCGATAATGAGCTACAAAAGCCTTCGTGTGTAAGCCCAGTCTAAGCCARCMYATATGTAAATATGTATGTATTGTGTATGTGAGCATATAAATATGTACAATGGCGTYGTGTGAACACAGCCCTGAGCAACGAAGTAAGCAAGATACCAACAATTTGGTAAGTTAAAAGTTTAACTGCTAAAAATGTAAAATGAAGAAAGTCTATAACTCTAAGTGGTAAACAGTCGYAAATCAGCAAATGAACGGATATTACAAGTGTATGATCGAACTACCATATACCCGTACTACCGTTGTATGTATGTGTRTAGGCATTTATGTGCATTTAATCAAATGTTAACGCGAAGCTAATGCAAAAATCAACAATCACTCAGTCTGTTTTATGGAATTCAATCTACTTATTATTATACACAACAACAAAAAACAAAAAAAAACCTATGAATTTATATATATGGTATATAAAACAAAAACTTTGAGTAAAAATATTTGAACATATACAAGTTTTAGTAAAAACCATTTACGACATTATACAAAGAGGAGAATGGGTTTACTAGAAAATTATAAACTTATTTACTGTAAATATATCATTTATTTACATAAGCATATTTAACTATACTTTATGTAACTATGTAGCTAACGGTAAAATTTATTGTGGTATTTATGAGATATATATCTGTATATATATAAATATATATGTATGTATATGTATATATTATGGCTGATTTATACTTTCTAGAAACGCACTTTATGAAGCATTTATGCACCAAAAAAATTATGAGCTAAARAACTAAACTATACACTCGTTAGATTTTGACTAAGGCTATTTGTATGCATTTGATTTGAAAATCAARATAACTGTCATGTTATAAATATTTGCCTTATTTGTTAGTTGTAAGATCATGAGTAGCATCGACTTTCCTCATACTCATAAAGACTTCTTTACTCATTTTATACAGGTATGTAACCAACAGGGTTAAACTAATATTTAAATTAAAATTTTGTATTTCATAATTCCAAAAATTCCAATTCAAAATAATTTTCAAAGCACTTCTAAACCCAAACATCAGATTAAAAAATTAAAATTCAATTAAAAAAAAAATAATTCCGAAAACTGGTTTGAAAATTAAAATTATATTTTCAAACGGTAATTTCGGACAGA